CTGCGGTGATTTTGGTTGTGTTAGGATGGGAAACAGTGGTGTTTCCAAGGTTATCGGCATGGGGGACATTCATTTGGAGACTGACGTTGGATGTAGTTTGCTTTTGAAAAATGTGAGACATGTTCCGGATATTCGACTTCACTTGATCTCCACAGGTGCCTTGGATGATGCTGGTTATTGCAATATCTTCGGTGACGGCAAATGGAAATTGACCAAGGGTTCCATGATATTGGCTAAGGATAAGAAGACATGCACTCTTTACACCATGCAAGCTAAGTTGGTCAAGGAAGATGTGAATGTAGTGGAAGACTCCTCAGTTGATCTATGGCATATGAGACTCGGTCATCTCAGCGAGAAGGGGCTTAAAACTCTTGCGAGAAAGAATCTCCTACCATTGAAGGAGAAAAATCTGAAAATGTGCTCATTATCTTAAAGGTAAGCAACATAGATTCTCATTTCATAGTTCCTCTCCACATACGAAATCAAGTGTACTTGATTTAGTTCACACTGATGTTTGCTGCATGGATGCTAGAACACTCGGTGGTGCATTGTACTTTGTGACATTTATTGATGATTGTTCTAGAAAAGTATGGGCTGTTGCTTTGAAATCTAAAGACCAAGTGCTTGCGGCTTTCAAACAATTTCATGTCAATGTGGAAATAGAAACCGGGAAGAAGTTGAAATGTGTTCGAGCTGACAATGGTGGTGAATATAGAGGCCCGTTTGAACATTATTGCAGGGATTATGGCATCAAGCTTGAGAAGACTGTTCCAAAAACACTACAACAAAATGGAGTGGCGGAGAGAATGAACCGGACAATTAATGATCGGATTCGGTGTATGCTCTCTCATGCGAAATTGCCTAAGTCATTTTGGGGTGAAGCAATGAGAACAGCAGTAGACTTGATAAATCTTTCTCCATCAGTTCCTCTTAAGGGGAATGTTCCACAAAGAGTTTGGAGTGGGAAAGATGTTTCATATAATTACCTGAAAGTCTTTGGTTGCTGGGCATTTGTGCATGTTCTAAAAAATGAAAGGTCGAAGCTTGATGACAAGTCTAAACAGTGTATCTTCTTGGGTTATGGACATGAAGAGTTTGGCTACAGGTTATGGGATCCGTTGCAAAGAAAATCATTAGAAGCCGAGATGTGGTATTCTTTGAGCATCAAACCATTGAAGACATTGACAAGCTAGGGAGACCAAAGAATGCAGCTCAACATTATGTTAGTTTTAGCCCAAATCCTCCTACCATATTGGGTGGAAATCAAGGGGAAGAAGTACACGGAAATCATGAAGATGGTGAATCCTCACAAAATGTTGATCCTTTAGATGAGACGGGTGAAACAGTTGAGCAAGAACAGCCGGTCCTACCTCAGGTTAGAAGATCTGAAAGAGAACGTAGGCCCTCACAGAAATATCAGCCGCATGAGTATGTGTTACTCACCGATGCAGGAGAGCCAGAAACTTATGAAGAGGCTATGTCATGTGATCAAAAGAACGAGTGGTATGAAGCCATGCAAGAAGAGCTCAAATCATTGCATGAGAACCACACATTTGAATTGATGAAGTTACCTAAAGGAAAAAGAACACTCACAAATAAGTGGGTGTACAAGTTGAAGACGGAAGAAAGTAGTTTGCAACCACGATACAAGGCTAGGCTTGTCGTGAAGGGCTTTCGTCAAAAGAAAGGAATTAACTTTGAAGAAATATTTTCACCGGTTGTAAAAATGCCTTCTATTCGAGTTGTTCTTGGGTTGGCCGCCACCTTGAATTATAAATTGAACAACTTGATGTAAAGACGGCTTTTCTTCATGGAGACTTAGAGGAAGAAATATATATGGAGCAACCGGAGGGTTTTATAGTCGAAGGCAAGGAGCACCTTGTCTGTAGATTGAGAAAAAGTTTGTACGGTCTCAAGCAAGCGCCAAGGCAATGGTATATTCGAATCATTCATGGAAGATCACGGGTATGGTAAGACCAATTTCGATTCTTGTGTCTTTATGAAAAGATTCTCGGATAATGATTTTCTTATCCTCCTACTCTATGTGGATGATATGTTGATTGTCGGGCATGATGTTAAGAAAATCAAGAGTTTAAAAAATGAGTTGAGTATAGCTTTTGCAATGAAGGATTTAGGTCCGACAAAGCAAATCCTTGGCATGAAAATTACTCGTGACAGGTTGAACAAGAAACTTTAGCTATCTCAAGAGAAGTACATTGACAAGGTGTTGGAAAGATTCAACATGAGCACATGTAAACCGGTAAGTACTCCACTTGCTAGTCATTTCAAGTTGAGTAGTGACCAGTGTCCTACAAGTGAGAAAGAGAAGGAAAAGATGATGAAAATTCCTTATGCATCGGCCGTGGGTAGTTTGATGTATGCAATAGTTTGTACAAGACCAGATATTGCTCATGCAGTTGGTGTTGTGAGTAGGTTTCTCTCAAATTCAGGTAAAGAGCATTGGGCTGCTGTTAAATGGATTTTGAGGTATCTTAGAGGCACTTCCAGATTCTGTTTGTGTTATGGAAATGGAAAGCCTGAGTTGAGTGGCTATTCAGATGCGGACTATGCCGGTGATGTTAACTCTCGAAAGTCCACATCGGGTTACATGATGATTTTTGCAGGGGGAGCGGTTTCATGGCAGTCGAGATTGCAAAAGTGTGTTACTTTGTCTACGACTGAAGCAGAGTATATTGCCATTACCGAAGGAGGTAAGGAACTTTTGTGGATGCAAAAATTCCTACAAGAGTTGGGCTTGAAGCAAGAGAAGACCGTTCTATATTGTGATAGCATGAGTGCTATCTATCTTAGCAAAAATCCGGTGTTGCATTCAAGATCGAAGCATATCGATGTGAATTATCATTGGGTCCGAGAAAAATTGGAAGAAAAGCTCTTTCTACTTGAGAAAGTCCATACCAACGACAATGGATCCGACATGATGACCAAAGTCTTGTCCCTGGTGAAACTTGACTCTTGTAGAAGCAAAGCGGGCATGATGAATCTTCCCACATGAGGTGGAGAGGGACATTTGTTGACTGGGTCCACCTTATGTGGGGCCCAGCCAGTACAAACAAAACAAAAGAAAGTAAAAAAAAAAGTGAAAAAGAAAGAACAAAAAGAGAAGGGGCAGCTTCGTGCGGAAAAGAGAGCCCACAGAGAAGAGAGAGAGAAAAAGGCAGAGAGCACCGAGAGCGAGAGAACAGGGGAGAAGAAAAGGGGCGCATCTTCGCGGTCCCGATTCGAGGGCCAAACGTTGTCGGAATTGGTTCAAATTTTAGTATGTTGTTTGTGAGACCGAGGGTTACGAGTTGATCGGTTTCGTTCGTTGAGAATCTCCTCCGAACTCTTCAATCGCGGTTAGGGTTTCTCTCCTCATTTTGTATAAATCCACCTTTGTGGTGAAGAAATGATATTCTAATGTTGATGTTGTACCTCTAGTGTGTGACTAGAGAGGAAACTAGTGTGTATCCTACTATTCTTGGTGATTAGTGGAAGTTTTATGTGTGGGGCGGTCCGTGGTTTTTCCCTCATTGGATTTTCACGTTAAATCTCGGTGTCGTTGCATTTGTTTCCTTATTATTGCGTGGTTATATTGCTGGAATATCATTGGTTGTTATTGGAATTAAGTCGGTTTAGTTTTGGGGGAGATATTGATCCTCGATTGGTTGAGTTCTTGGTGAATTGTTGCCCGCGGTTCTCCCCAACACGAACCAACCCTGGAACCGCACCTATCAGTAACATGAGACTCAACTTGTTCTCCATGAAGTGAAGCTGGGTATGATAGGCGAAGCAAGAGATGGAGCGAACCTGTAGTAGCAAGTCAGGGGAACCGTTGCTGAAGAGAGGTGGCCCAGAATCTGGAGGACCAAATCGAAACAGTGGGCACTGCCGCACGCAGAGAGTCAAGTGGGAAAGCAGGGGAAGGTCCGGCAGGGGAGATGGAGGCCTTCTCTGGTGCCAGCTTCGAAATCGGAGGTCTCTGTACCAGCTTGCCCTCCTGGAGTCCTTCCTCTCTGGTTGCCAACTTTTACTGCATGTGTTGCTTGCGTAGTTGAGCAACAGAGCGGACGATCGCATGTGATGAGCAGTCTGAGGTGTAACAACAAAACGAGGAAGGACTGATTTCGCGGCAGCAAGAGACAGCTAATAAGGAGAAGAAGGAAGAGAATGAGAAGAGGGGGGAGACTTTTTTCTTGGGGGGAATAATGAATCGGAGAGCAGTGCAACAAGCATTCGTGGTTTCATGGACGGAACATCCGAGCTAAACTAAAGTGAAACAACTCCTTCCTCCAACATCTCTATGTATCACACAATCTGGTCCGGGTTCAATCGGATCGAACCAAACCGAATAAGCATACCTAAATACCTGCATTCAAGCCGAAACACGTGAATCTGCAATGTCATCATCTAGAATTGTTGATTTTTCTAGTAATTTACCTTTCTAGTGTTAGACTTAAATTGCGAGATTAGTTGAAATCCGTCAGCTTCCATGCTATTTCACAAACTCGGCACAAATTCCAATTCCAGTGTAAGGTTATCGTAGCCCATAGTTTCCCCTCGATCATACATCCAGGAGAAGCGTCTTGCCTATGGTAGTTCTTCACCAATTAATGAGCTGCCAGCACATTATCCCCAATTTTACCACGTTCCATGGATGTTGATTTGCTAAGGGCTTGTAAAAGAAGGCACTACTTGGCTAACATGTTTGTAAGTCACTTGTATGTAATATTGCAACAACAAATGGGCCTGAACAGTGGCATTAATTCTCTTCAAAATTATGGAGCAGTTAAAAAGTTAAGAGATAGCTGCACAAAAATCATCTCGTATCACAGAACAAGCTGCGTTGAAGAAATTAGCTGAGACAGCTTTATGACCATGATACACCCCTCTTGATCTCAGCACAAGTCACTCCCTGAATAAGAAGCTGCTTCAAATCATAACGCAAAGAAAGAGATATATATATATCAGAACGATCCAAGTAGGGAGACCCTGAAGAGATTCTTAGCAGCAAAACCCTAACACTTTAACATTTGGTTCAACATGTTCACACATTCATTATTAGCAAGCTAAAAAGCTGAAGTTTGAATCTTCTGCTTGCGACATTCACAGGGAGGCGGGGGTCCGGCATCGCGCCTTCTCCTTCTTCAGCGTTTTTGATGCATGCTCCTCCAGATGATAGCAGACCAAATCTTTCGGAAGATTCCCAGACCTAAACAGCTCAATAGTTTGTGTCGGACAGCTTTCAAGAACAAGCATTCCAAACTCCAAGACAAGCACAGGGTCAGTTCCACAGAGAGGCTGCACAAGATAACCAATCAATGGTCAAACTCAAAAGATTATGACCCTCCTTGTTGTGGTAGAAATCACAGCTTTAGGTGATCATAGCTAACTCGCCAAAGACCTCAAGTTCACTGAATGCCATAACCATATCATGAGCACCACATTACGTACCTTGAGATATTCAATTACCATCTCTGGCTTGAACTTTTGAGTCGGACCAGCTTTTGATTCATTTGATTTTGACTCCTCCACTAAGTGATGGAGAAGCTCCAGAGCTTCACGATGCATTGAATTGCTTTTGTAAAGTTCTAGCAAAGCTGTATAATGACTACTGTTCTGAAGAATCTCCTCACATATTTTCACATCACAATAGTTAAGGCCTTTCAGAAATTCAACAGCAGCTGAAGACTGTCCCGTGAGAAGCAAAGCTTGCAGTAGTGCTGTGTTCAATATAGTTACCTTGTACCTTTCAAGTGACCTAACGGCGATGGCGGCGCGTCTCTGAGGAACAAAAGCAAAACTAGACATTAAACTATAATGACACAAAATCCATTGACACAGAAGAAGACAGCCTTATTTCAATTAGTTTGTCATGTCCACATGGAAAATCATCCATGCCATCGCCAAAATATTGCAATGTGTCTGGTCAAGTACCTCGGTGTTGACACGTGAACAAGCATATCTGAACTGTAAACTCTCTGCAATTGCATTTTGACATGCATTGCATTGCACTGCATGACAGTAGGTACCCAGTGCACCTTGAATAATTAAACCGACATAACCAACGTGACAAATTATGGACCCAACAAAAATCATTAAATACATAATCACTCACCCAACTTTAGCACAGAAAAATCTCAGAAGCGCGCATGCACTAACATTAGTGCACTCAACTTCAAGCATCTATGCATTAGATTGGCTTGCACTCGATCAACTAGAAAATAAAGCGGAGGAGTAGAATGACGGAATTTATCAAAAGAAATTGTCACTAGTAGCGCAACATGGTCAATCATTTCGAATATCAGATCTTTTAGCCACTTTGTTCCTATAGCTACCTGATTTCAAGAAAATTACAAACTGGACAATGAAGATTACTGGTAACCAGAACCTCAATTCTAGAAGGAACATAATTTCTTTTGATTTGTTATATCTGGCAGGTAAAAACTGAACGACGTGCTACGAGATGCCCTTGCTTACAATAACCATACACATGAGTAATCCCAGTATCTCTCCTTTATGGGGTTCAACAAATGTACCGATTTTCAAATATTTCTTAAAGCATAATTTAGGCATACAGTTGACGTCAATATTAAATTCATCTGCCCATAGCCATGGCTGAAATAAAATTTAGCTAATCCATGTATCATCAGTTCTTGGCCAATATATGAGGACTCTCAGGTAATGCTAGTACCTTGTTAGTCCTTTCAAACCGATTGATATCATATGAGGGGATACCATCACCAACAGCAGTGCCTTCAGTTGTGGCCTTCTCTATTATACCGTGTCTCTCCTTCTGCAAAAATTTGACGAGAGCCACGAGAGCAATATCGCTCATTTTTTTGGACTCGACTGCTGAATGCTCGTCGCATTCCTGTGAATTGTCCATCAATTCTTCTGGCTCAGGAACCGAAGCCCTTTGTGGAAGAATTATTGACGGATATCGAGAAAGCACATCAGTTATATCCACTTTAGAAGCCAAGAAATGGTCCATTGCCTCCTCATAGCTTCCATTTTCAAAAAGATGTTGGGCATACCTGCAACAGGTTCAGGTAGATCAGTGGTGCGATGAGCAATTTACCGGAGAAGTGAGAGGGTCAGTGGGGGTGGAGGTGCGACCAGAGCGGGCGATCACGATTGCGATCGCCATCACGGGAGGAATGGCGACCGCCGTCATCGTCGACGGGGCGCAAATCGGGGACGAGTGGGGAGCCGTCGCCGTCGCATCTCCGTCGCCGCGCTTCATCGGAGAGGACGAGGCCCGGCTTCCGAGCCAGCTTTGACGGTTTCCGGTCGATCGGCGACGCGATCTGACGGCGTTTTGTTTATTACGAGAAGTGAAGGTTCTTGGAGTTGGAGGACGGGCTATGAACGTGCAGATTCCATGTGACGAGGGAGACAGAGCGAGGAAAAAAAAAATTAAGGAGCAGAAGTGAATCTTATTTTAAATAAGAGCCCAAAATAACTATATCAGTTTCAAATAAAAGCCTAACCTCACCGGTTCACCGACTGGCCAAATATTCCGACAAGTCAGGGGCATTTTCGTCTAAAGACAACTTTAACATATATTTTACTTAAATTATATTAAAATTAAAAAAAGATTAAAAAAAAAGACTGGTGGGAGGGCTGGCAGCCAGTCCTCTCGTCTGTGGCCCCTGCCCCATCACCGGTGGGGCGGCGGTGATGGCCAGCCAGACGTGTGCGAGGGTCGGTGGCCCTCCCCCAGATCGAGGCGACGGTCGCCACCCTCTCCCGGTAGGCCGTCGCCTTTGGTCGGCGAAGGTCGCCGGCCATCGTCGCCGCCCCACCGGCGATGGGATAGCAGTCGGTAGAGGTGGCCACGGGCGGTTTGGCCGAGCTGGGGCCGGAGCCCGGTCAAACCCGGGCCGGCCCGTTAGCCAAGACCCCGTGGTTGGGCATGATTGAAGCGAGCCCGTGGCATACGGTCCGGTTCGGTTCGAAGAAAAAATTTGAACCGGCCGGAGCCGTCGGATTCCCGGCTCGATTCTCGAAAAAAAAAAAAAAAGGCTGCGAGGTTGCGGCGATCTTTGCCGGCCATGGCCATGGCAGCCCGTGAGGTCGCCGAGCGTCGTCGGCGTCGGGGGCCGGCCCTCGCCGGCGTCAGGCGAGGCGGCCTCGCACACTGGGCAAGGCGAGGCCGGCCTCGCCCCGCAGCCGGACCGGCAGCGAGCTCGGCCTCGCACACCAGCCCAGCGAGGCTCGACCTCGCCGGCGTCGGCGGCCGGCCTCGCCCGGCCCCAGGCGAGGCGAGGCCTCGCCCGGACGCCGGCGAGGGCCGCCTCGCCTAGAGGCCGGCGACCTCCGCGCCGGCCGGCTATGGCCGGCCGCGGAGGAAGAAAAAAAAAAAGGAAAAGGAAAAGGAAAAGAAAAACAAAAAAAAATAGGAATCGGCCGGAACCGGAACCGCCAGAGGCGGTTCCGGTTACGGTTCACACTTGGCCACGAACCGGAACCGGTCGGTTCCGAACCGTGGCCACCTCTAGCAGTCGGAGTCTATGTTTCTTTTCTATTTTTTAAACTTTAGCCTTTTTTTTTTCTTTTTGTGTTTTTTATGGAAAGAAAAAACATAAAAATCAAAAAAAAAAATCAAAAAAAATTAAAAGACGAAAATACCCTGACAAGTCGGTGAGGTCAAGCACTGACATGGCCATTTTTAGGCCCTTATTTGAGAAAATGATGACACTTCGGGATCTTATTTGAGAAAATGATGACACTTCGGGATCTTATTTGAGAAAATGAGAGCATTTCAAACCTTTCTTTGGAATTTTCCCTTAAGAAAAAGATTGGTGAATATCATCAAAAACCCCAAATTATACTTACTGTAACAAAATACCCCTAACCTTTTTCATATTACCAAAAACCTAAACTTGTTCAATGTGACATAAATAAAAAAAGCCCAAATATCCTATCTATTACGGTTCTATCTATGGTACATTTGTCACATTGGTGTAAGTTCGGGATTTTTTATGACACAAAAAATAGTTTAAAGTGTTTGAGTTACAATGGGCAAATTTAGGATTTTTAGGCTCCGTTCGTTTGGCGGAAAATATTCTCCTTTTGGAAAATATTTTCTCGGAAGTCATTTTCCTGGAAAATGTTTTCCCGGAACATAATTTTCCGGTGTTCGACGACCAATATGAAAAAGTTTCGGAAAATATTTTTCGCCGGCGACCGGTGGCGGGCGGCGGCGTCCGGCGATCGGCGGCGGCGGCCCGGCAGCAAGCAATGGCAGCCGGCGACCGACGGCCAACGTCCGGCGTCGAGGCGGCGGCGGCCGGAGACCGACGACCAACGTCCGGCGTCCGACGGCGGCGGCCGGCCGACCGCGCAAGGCGGCGGCGGCGGCCGGGCGGCGGCCGGCGACCGGCGCGGGCGGCGGCGGCGGCGTGGCTGACGGCGCCGGGCGACTCGGCCAGCGGCGACGGCCGGCGACCTTAGTGAAGAAGAAGAAGAAGCTCCGGAAAATGATTTCCACTTTTGAAGAAGCGGAAGTCATTTTCCGTAGACTTAGGCTATTTTGTGAGGGGGGAAGGAAAATATTTTCCCACGGAAAACGTTTGCCACCCCCCGAACATCGGAAAACCCGAAAAATATTTTCCGGAAGAATATTTTCCGCCAAACGAACGGAGCCTTAGTAACACAAAAAAGGGTAGGGTATTTGTATCACAGTGCACATAACTTGGGGTTTTTTCCTGCTAATTAACTCTAAGAAATTATTTTTATAAGATAGTGATCGTGCATAATGCAGAAAAAATATGTTTTGCAATAAAAAAGTTTCTTCACTTAGGCTGCGTTTGGTTGCCCAGATTTAGATTCGGATAGAACGGGATAAGGTTGGATTAGGAATCCTCCAAATATCCTCCGAATTGTAGAAAATCCCATCACGTGTTTGGTGCAATTCAAATTAGGATAAACTCTTGAAAGATTTTTGAAAATCTCAATTGGTCAATACAAATCAAAGCAAAGTTAGAAGACAAAATATGTAGCACGAAATCTGCTGTACCTTTAATAGGAGAAGAAATAGCTCGTTTTTGTTGCAATGGAATCCACTGGAAGAGGTGCGGCGGTGGAGGATCGGTGCCGGACGTGAGAAGAGAAATCTAAAGGGAGCTTTTTTTTTTGGCTTTGTTTTTTACGCTTCCCTCTGCTCGAGGGACGAGACGATGCGCTATGCCACTCTGAGCGAGTCAATTACGTCAGCGGTGAGTTTGATGGTCAATTCGACTAGCTTCCACATAAACTGGACCATCTCCTCGTACTGCTCGGCCTACTTGAATTAGGTACGCATAGGGTCTATTTGGTAAGCTTTCTGTTTTTGGGAACAATTTTTGTTCAGAAATAGTATTTTCTAATTCTGTCCTTGGGAACAGTTTCCGAGAAAAAAATGCGATTGGTAACTGCACAAAATTTATATTTTCGGAATAGAAAAAGAACAGAAATGCATTCGGTATGACCTTAAAAATTTCTACTCCCAATTTTTTCATTTAATTATAAAATGGGAGAGGAGACTTAGCAATTCTTCATGTTTGAATAAAATTGAACTATAAATAAAATCAGAATATATTATGATATAGAATTGGTTGACCTTAATACAATGATAAAGAAAGTTACTATAGCAGTCGAGGAAATTGCAATTTAGGGTTTAGGATTTCAGGGTTTCGGTTTTAAGATTTGGGATTTAGGGTTTGGGGCTTATGATTTTAGGATTTAGGTTTTAGGGTTTCGGGTTGGGGGTTTAAGGTTTGGGGTTTACTATTTCAAATTTTGAGTTTGGGGTTTTATGGTTTGGTATTTGGGATTTAAGGTTTTAGGGATTCGGATTTTGGAATTGGGTACAGGGTTTAAGGTTTAGGGTTTAAGATTTTAGAGTTTAGTGTTTTGAGTTTGGCGTTTAGGATTCCGGGTTTTGCGGTTTAGGGTTTGAGGTTTTGGGGTTTGGGGTTTAAAGTTTAGTATTTCGGGTTTAAGGTTTGGATTTTGGGGTTTGAGGTTTAGGGGTTAGGGTTTCGGGTTTTAGGTTTTAGTGTTTAGGGTTTAGGTATTGAGATTTAGAATTTAGGGTTTTTTTTTTACTTCTTGATTTTGTTCCAAATCTATTCTCTGACCACTTTTCTGTTCCGGCGAACAAAAAAATTGACTGATGTTATTAAACAGATTTCTATTCTTTTTTTGTTCCGAAAACAAAAGAACAGAAAATTAGAGAATCTGAAGCGTAAAATTAGAGAATCTAAAGCGTTACTAAACATGCCCATATTGATCCATGCTCAGATTCTCCGGCACCGCCATCACAAATCGGACTCATTGAGGTGCTCTGGTCAATCGATCGATCAAAGAAAGTGTCAGTATTTATTTTTAAAATTCGGATAGAGATACAAATATCTGATTATACGCTACATTTTCTTGTATGCCGTAAAATTGATTATGAACAAGAATCATGTGATAGACAGATACATTATAAAATATCTAAATCTATAATGTTTCGTAGAAGGGATAGTAAATTTTAACTCACGTACAAGAACATGAGAAAATATGAAATATATTATTTTAAAACTAAGAATTTAAAAAAAAACTAAATATAAAAATCCATGCAAAGCATGGATAGCAGCATAAGCTTAACATAAATCAAATCTAGTTTGTAATTAAAAAAGACGAAATGGACTAACAACAGGTTCAATAAATTTTCTTTTGAAATATTTAGAACTTAATTGGCAATCGACAAATATTGAACATTTAAGACTCGGAATATCAATAAATAAGACGTGCAGGACTTGTTCTACTTTTATCATTATGAAGATCTAACGCTATCTATTATCGTATTGAACTGAGCTTGACCTGAAGCTCTATGTTGAAAATTAAAATTCCACTTATCATAATTTTTTGAATTATTACAACGTGAACGCTAAACTTAGTTGATAGTTGCAATGAACTTTGATTTCGTTAATCAAATGTACAAATGCTAATTTTCCTCACAATTAATATATTTTGACTAGAATCCGGTCAACTTCCCGATGAAATGTGCGTTTGCTGGCTCTTGACGATGATATCACTTGCTAAAAAGATTTTTTTAACGGGGTAAAAGTCACAAAAAATTCTAAACTATGTCAATTGTGACATATTTACCCTAAATGTGACACCAAAAACCCTAAACTTGTATATACGTGACATATTTACTCCAGACACATTTATCCTAAACTTCTTTTTGTAACACCGAAAACCCTAAATTTGTATCAGTGTGAGACATTTGCCCCAATAATTTGGTAAAAGAATTTTAGGTCTTTGGTGTCACAAAAATAAATTTGGAGTAAATGTGTTGCACATGCATAAATTTAGGATTTTTGGAGAAAATATTAAGTGGTCCGGAAACTCCACGTCAGCGTGCTCCCGGATCAGTCATGAAGCGTGAAAATTTTGCAAAAATATAATGTTCTTTCTCTCTCATTAGCCCTCGCACGCTAAGGGTGAGCATGGTCCGGGTGGGTGGTTCTCAACCTAGAATTGGGAACCACCCACTAAACACCGGTTATGAAAAATTGGAAGCGGGAACCGTCCGTTGGTTCCATGGATCTACCTGGGAACCGGACCGGGGTGGGTCCATGGAACCGGTCCCATTAGCCGAGGACGAAGACGGAAAGGCGGAGATGGAGAGTCGGAGACGATGAGGCGAGCGTCGACCGAGAAGAGTGAGAGAGTGAGAGTGAGAGTGAGCGTGAGGCGAAAGCGAAAGAAGGTGTTTTTCAGCTCAATATGAAGTTGTGAGCGTCAAGAGAATTAGGTTTAGCTTAGGGATTTACGATTTTTTTTAAAATATTATATTTATTATTAAATTATCAGTTCGGTTGGGGTGGGTGAGCAAGCGATTCCGCACCTGAAACCGAGAACCGGACCGATACCAACCGGTTCTCGAAAATTAAAATCGGGAATCAGATCGGTTCCCTTAGGAACCACAGGTTTAGATCTGATCTCGGGGCGGTTTCCAGGTTTTTTGTGTACCCCTGCCGCACGCTACCCTTGCGCCCCATCTTGTACGCATTTAATCCTTCTCTCCTCTTCTCTCTTCTTCTTCCTTTCCTTGAAGAAGAAAACCCTACGCAACTTTCCTCTCTCGCTTTCAAATTATTTTTAATCTGTGATTCCGTTGGGCGTTCCTGGTTGCTCTTAGGGGTGTAAAAAAAACCAAAGCCGACCCGGCCCGACCTGATCTGGTCCGGCCCGATTCAAAATTTTAGGGTATTTTGGGATCAGGTCTTATTTTTTCTGGGTATGGGTTTTAGACGTGGGTATTTATTAAAATCGGGCCGGGCTGGGCTTTAATGACCTGGCACCACTTCCCCCTCTCTCTCCCCTTCGCTTCTTCTCTCTCGGCCGTGAACTTCTGTCTCCCCCCTTTCACTCTCCATCCAGTTCAGCCTCGACCGCGGCAGGAGATCGGAGGACGACCTGATCTTCCTCGCCTCCCACGCCCCCCGATCAGGGAAAGCTTTCGATCCTCCCTCTTCGATTCCGACCGTTTCCCCCCGGCGCGATCGATCCCCCCTTCGCCGTCGATCTCCGCGAGTCGCCGCCGATTCGACGACGCCGACGATGGAGGAGCCGGGGGAGCGCCCGGGGAGAAACCCTAGATCTCTTCTTCTGCTTCTTCTCCTCGGCGCTTTTTTTCGAGATCCCTTTCCGCCGGGCCGCCGGGGGCGGTCGCTGATGGCGGATCAGGAGGAGGAGGACCTGAAGATGGCGCTGCGCCTCAGCATGCAGCACTCGCCGCCGGAGCCCAAGCGGAGCAAGCCCAGGGACGCCGTCGCCGCCGCCGGGGGCTCGTCGCCGGAGGACGGCCGCCGGATGTAGAGGGAGCTCATGGCCGCCGCGGCCGAGAAGGGGATGCTGGCCGCGAGGAGCGCTGGAGCGGCGTCGCTCTGTCGGCGTTCCTTGCTCCCCGCCTACGACCTCTTCCATCTCCATCCTCGTGAACTCCTGAGAGAGAGAAGCATTCCTTCGGCCATGGTTCACCGCGCCTACGACCTCTTCCATTTCCTCACGGATTGCCCCGCCAAAATCGAGGCCGTCGGGTCCCACGCCTCCGAGATCTTCCTCGGCTGCTCCGACGGATCCCTCCGCGTCTACGGCCCCAGGCCTTCCCGCTTGGTCTGCCTTCCGCTGCCCCGCCGGCGGTCCGACCCGTCTCCTCCGCCGCCGCCCGACTCCCGCCCGGAGCACCGGATGGTGCCTTACGTGCTGCAGCGGAATGTCGACGGTTTCGCGAAGCGGCCCTTCCTGTCGATGGAGGTGTTGGCCTCGAGGGAGCTGCTCCTCACGTTGTCCGAGTCGATTGCGTTTCACAGGCTCCCCGATTTGAAGACCGTGGCCGTCCTGACGGAGGCGAGAGGTGCCAATGCGTGCTCGTGGGACGACAAGAGAGGGTTCCTCTGCTTCGCCAGGCAGAAGAGTGTCTGTATTTTCCGGCACGATGGTAATTCCAATCTATTTTCCCCTTGTTATTGTTCTTTCCTGACCCGATTTTAAGTGTCGGTCTAGTTGATTAATGATTCGGAATTGCTGTTGTAGAATGAGAATTTCGGTACTTATGATCGTGATACGATACGGTTAACGTACTTGAAGCTCCAGTAGTGGAGATAGCGGTGCTGAGTTACGTTTCAATTTTTAGATTGACTTCTTTGGAAAAGTTTGCCTCTTTACCGGTAGAGATCGATAAGTGGCTGGAAGACTGCTGCTTGATCGATTCAGAGAAAGAATTCTGAAGCTTTGTGGAATTGCAGCTGTGTCTTCCTCCGTTTTGGTGGTGATTTTGCTTTCATTATGATGTAGGGGGAAGTAGCTTTGTGGAGGTGAAAGAGTTTGGGGTGCCTGATACTGTGGAGGCGATGTCGTGGTGCGGCGAGAACATATGTTTGGCACTCAGGAGAGAGTACGTGATCATGAATGCTACAGATGGTGCGTTGTCCGAGGTATCTCCTTGTGGGAGGGTCGCGCCACCTCTGGTGGTGCCCCTTCCTTCTGGAGAACTCATCCTTGGGAAGGTAATTTTGTTCCTTAGACCCTTATGGTTCTCATCTCTTATTCTGAAAGGCTTAGTTACATTTAGACCTAGAATGCTTCTGAAGATGGAGTCACAATGTGTACTGATTAAAAATGAGGACTGCAGACTGGTCTTGTGATGGTTTAATGTGCAATCCTTGTTATTCCGATTCGGAACTGGTCGTGGTTGTTTTGCGTAGCTTGTCATCTATTCCACCACCGACAGAGTTTGGCTAGAGTGGCCCTCTGTTAATGGCCATATGTCCCCTATAATGTCTGACACGAGTGGCTAATTTTATTGCCCAGGTCATGGTTGTCGCGTGTAATGTACTGTGTTTTGGGGTGGAAGTATTTCAGGAAATGTGGACACTATGTGCTGTGTGGCCATTACAAAATCATTATGCATCTTCGTGCGGTTTGAATGCATCGTGCAGCTGAATTACTGACTTCCCGAGACTGTTAAGGTGTACTTCTTGATGCGAATATATTCTATTGGGGTGTCATCCAAGTTTGCAAGGCCCTCAACTAGTAACAACTATTTACTATTCAAGTCCAGTTCCCCTAAGTGGGTCGGCTTAAGGAATTCTTTGATACCATTATGCTCTGTCGCATCTCAGGTCCTCTATAAGATCAAATAGTCGAGATATTTCTTTTCAAATTTTATCGTCTCCTCTAGGTCCTTTAAGTTTTCCCCTACCCCTTCCATCCTCTAATCACATGTTCCCTCCGGAGCAATTTGCGGCCATTGCATTTGTACCGCTCTTCCAAAAAATCCACCTCAAAAGCAAAGGCCCTCAATTATAAGTATTTCCTCAAGTGGTTGAGGCCTGATCAAGCTTCGTATGAACATGTTACGCAGTCTATGATATCCTAATCCCTTGAGTCAACTGTTACAGCAGAACTGAAGTCAGATATTGTAAGAAGTGCTTACCCCGTAACTGGACATGAGAGGCTGTATCATTCTGCCGAGGCAATGATTCGGACATTTGCTTAGTGTCATACAGAATCTAATATTAGCAGAGAACCTTTTTTGCATTAACAGAAGAATCTTTGCAACTGGGCTTAGCTGCAAGATTTAGCTTGAAGAACAAACGTGAATAGTGTCGCGTACCTAAAACAGAGGATCTTTTTCTCCATTACAGAGGAACTTAGAACTTGGCAGAAGCTGAATAAAAAAGAAATGAGGGAAATGTAAATCCTGTCGGTGAACTAAATTGTCAATGCCTAGGTTTTTCTTGTATCCTGAAGAGGAAATCCAATTCATATTTTCTTTGGTTGCCTGCAGAATATGCTTGAATTTGCTTGCCATTCCGTGCGATGCATTTAACTTGAGATATCCCAATAAACTTTGTGACCAAGTTGGTTTCAGTAATCAAGACTAATCCTTCTCTGGATTATATGGTGGTACTTTGATATGCTTCAATGAGTTTCTGCCATATTTAGGATAATGTTGGAGTTTTTGTGGACCAAACTGGGAAGCTATTGCCAGAAGGTAGGATATGTTGGTCGGAGGCTCCTCAAGAAGTTGTCATCCAGAAGACATATGCAATAGGTTTATTCCCAAGATATGTTGAGGTAAGCTGATGATTTTCTTGCCTGCTTATTTCTCTGTTCATTCTTTTTGCATGCTAAGCTTCTTACTGTAACATTCTCCATGTTGGTGCACTTCAGATTCGCACTCTTCGAGTTCTGTATCCTTTGATTCAGACTGTTTTTCTCGGCAATGTTCGTCATCTTGCCCAAAGTAGCAGTGCGATAGTTGGTGCCCAAGATAATTCCGTCTGTGGGTTCTTTCCTGTTCCTTTTGGTTCACAGGTACTCATGGGGCATGTTAATTTATTAGGTATATTCTTATGTAGTTTCCTTTTGTTATGCTTTTTTCTTAATTCAAGTGCTTAATGCAGCTTGTGCAGTTAATGGAATCTGGCAATTTCGAGGAAGCCTTGGTGTTGTGCAAATCGTTTCCACCAGAAGATTCTTCAAAAGAGGCGAAGAACCTTCACTTCTCGTAATAAACAAAATGCCGTCAGATCGCGTCGCCGATCGACCGGAAACCGTCGAAGCTGGCTTGGGAGCCGGGCCTCGTCCTCCTCTCCGATGAAGCGCGGCGACGGAGACGCGATGGCGACGGCTCCCCTCTAGTCCCCGATTCGCGCCCCGTCGACGATGACGGCGGCCGCCATTCCTCCCGTGATAGCGATCGCAATCGCGATCGCCCGCTCTGGTTGCACCTCCACCCCCACTGACCCCCTCACTTCTCCGATGACCCTAGGGTTTCCCCTCATAGCTCCGGGATCTCCTCGATCTTCCTGCTTCTCGTCGTCGCGATCGTCGGGCTGATCTTGATCTTCTCCATTGTGCATCGCCTGGTGAATGGATTTCGAACTCTTCGCTACGTCTTCGACTGCTGGATTTGAACAATAAATTTGGTGGCTGATTGCGATTGGAGTTCATGAAATGACCCGATCTTTCTGATGAACTGGGAAATGCTGCTGAATATTGCTCTTATCTCTTTACATTGTGAGGAATATGGAAGAGCTGTGACTCTGCGCTTAGGTGTTGAGCGGCTTTGGTGTTTGGGCTTCATTTTTCAAACTACACTTTCGTAGATTAGCAGTGAAAGTCCTAACTAAAAGCTTTTGCAAGGCCTCGGGTGTATGAAATCACATCGTGGTTCTTCATGTTTAGTTTATTGATAAGATATGTCTTAGTTGATACGTACTTCCTCAATTGAAGGCCACATTCGTGCTCAGCTGGACTGATAGATGATTCTTATACTAGCAATGTACTAATTCCTCGTCGAACACCTTGCAGAATGCCCCATACCTTTGCCGGAAAGATGGCATCGTTCTTCATTGCCCTCATGTAAGTTGTCGAAGGATCTTGTTTGAGCTTCTCCTTTTCTGCCATCTATATGTGCTGTGACAATGGTTATTGCTAAATAATCTGCATTCTCGTGCTAGGTCAAGGAGCCTCCTTCACCGTGGGAAAATCCATACTCCGCAGCCACATCGTGGAAGCCTTGTGCTAAGCGTCGTGATGGTGGAATATCGAGTATGTGGCCTACTGAGCCTAGGCTTTAATCAATACTTTATCACTCTTTATATACAAATTTATGTCATTATTACTCATTTGTCTTTTTATGTCTATACCCAAAGTAAAATGACAAAAATTGTCGTTTAAAAAGAATTAAAGAAACTGGTTTAGCGAGGGAACTTGGGATTTGCTATTCTTGAATCGACTGTTAGTACCACGGATGTCTTTTAATCAGCTACATCTGGAAAAACGATATTCCCCCAGTTGCTATCTAGATGGTTCTTGACCTGTGAAGATCAGCTCGAACGCTTTTGTTTGCATCTGGAAATTTATCTCTTCCCCTTTGTTATGTTTGTGCGGGAAGATATTTCTTTCCTTCACGGTTTCAAGATCTCTTACTGACTTATGGTAAGTTTCTTCCCAAGAGCCAGCTATGATGTATAAGAACATCCAGTTATAGCGATGTCATTAGATTATTAGATGCACCTCGCGGGTAGGTGATGAAGAATGTTTCATACAATAACTGTGGACAGAAGCTGCACTTACAAAGTCATGATTGTCTTTAAAGCCTTTAAGTTTAACTTCGTGTGGGAATGGAATGATCGTGCCATTCAAAAGTATTCCTGCAATTTTTAGCATCATAAAGTAATGCGGAATTCTTTCCTTTTATCCTCTGTACAGATGTTCCTCCTGAGAATGAAACAAATGGCTACATATTCATCCACGCTGAGGGCGGTTTAAATCAACAAAGAATTGCGGTATGATATGTGCTCTATCAATTTCTCAATCTGAATGAGAAAACTTAGCTTATTGGCATATTCTGTTGGATGTCCTTAATTATCCATGCCTCTACAGCAAGTGTAGGTTTCAGGAAATACTTTTCACTCCAGGGCAATAAATTTATGGCTCTTTGCATGTGAATGTTTTTGCTGATATGGGACTATAGAAGATCTTTATGTTCAATGAACTTTGCATTATTTTGGCCCAAACAAGGTTTTAGGTTCTCCCATATTTGCTAGTTGAGGGCACAAACTAAGTTTTTGCTCCACAAAATTGGTAGCTGTTGTGAAGTTCTCATTTGAAGGAATAGCCTCCTAAGTGAAATTTAGTGGTCTCTGATGCTGAGTATGCTTAGCATCTGCTTGGAAGATACCTCGGCTTATGTCCTTCTTCTCTCATTTTGAACTAATAAGTAGAATCTTTTTAGGGGAGTGGAACTAGCACATGGAAACAATAAGAGGACAGATTGGTAGTTACTACTCACTCGTTCTTCTTTTCCTGTTTGTTAGGGAAAACTGAAAATAGATTCAGGCAACGCCAGCATAATTTCACACTCATGGGTTTGATCTATTTTGTGTAGAAGGAAATGCAAAGTTGTTATTAAGATACTTTAATTGCGTCATACTTTTCCTTATTCATTTCCTTATGCTTTTAATAGATGCTTTTGATGGATGGTTCTTTCATAGATTTTCAAATTACTATTATGTTGATTATGTCCCGGACAATTTCAGATTTGTTGCTTTACATGTTAATACTACTACGAAACTCATAATCTTGCTTAATTGTTTTCTGTTAACTGGGGATCCTTTGTCGCAGATGCTTATTGTAAAGCATGAGGCATTTCATTAGGAAGTATTTTTAGTCCTTTAAGCTATTCATTATGCAATTATGATATCTATGCAGAAAGAATCTATGAATGCAGCCCAAGTACTTGGTGGAAAAGTCGAATAAAGTTTTGGGCTTCTTGATTGCCCCAGTTCCCATTTGAGTTTGACCTATACTATTCAGTGCTGGTTAGCATAGCATTCGGCATGGACAATTTGCATTGTTTAGACAAGTATTTCCTAGGAACAAATTACATTTGTTTGATGTGCTGTTTGTCATTGCTCATAAAAAATATACTGCATGTTAATTTAATCTTTTGATCTAGAGCTGGCTTAATGAGAATCTGTCTTATTCATATTTCTCTATCCGAATACGCAATTCTGTTGCTGTTGCTAAAATTTTGAATGCTACTCTTATTTTACCAGTATTAAAGCAGGATCAGATCTGGAAAGATCAAACGTAAGTTGTCTAGACTCTGCCCTCATATCTTCTCCTCTTTCACCTTTTCCTTTTCTTGTTAATTAGTTAAACTGCAACACCTTTGCTGCAAAACAAGGTTTGGTTCAGGCTTTTCTGATACTTAGGACACGGAGTTCATCATTTAGGGGAAGTCATTGAATTATTCTATGCATTTTCTCTTACCAACCCCACCCTTGAAATTGTATTGACACATTAGCTTTTCTCTAGTCATCAAGTTAATCTAAGTTACTGTATGTTAGACATCTGAATGGCTTGGCTCCAGGCTTCAGCTCTATTAGGAAAGTTTTTCCAGATAGTACTTCAGATAGTTGATAAGTGGACATGGCTCGACTCCCTCAATATAGAATTATCTGTATTTTCTTAGTCATGCATCATTGACCAATTACGTCAGTAGCCAATTGCGTATTCTTAGATAGGATGGCATCTTGTGAAGGACAGCAAAGAAGATGAAGTTATGGAGGAACTTTTATTTGCTTTAATTGGTATCTTGGAACTTCTTGCCTGCTTTTCAATAGATCTTTTCGTATCCATGCAGGAAAATTGAGGATATTTTCAATATGGATCATTTCATTGATTATCTGAAAGATGATGTTCGGATTGTGCGCGATATCCCCGCCTAGTTTACTGATAAGTAAGAGTCGTTTACAAGCATCAGGTCTGATGAGACTATGTTTTGCTGCTTCCGAATTATTTTTGCCAATCACAAATTGTTTTTCACTAACTCAAAGAAGTGATCCATGAAATAGGCTTTGCTAAATATGAAGTAGGCACTTTTAGAGGTCAAAAGAACAAATTGCCTACCTGATATTGTCTTGGTGAAGAAAGCATATTGCATGTAGATAAGAATAGTTTGTGAAGGTGCATGTTGGTCTCTTTTTGTTCACGTGTATAGAACATGCACGCACAGATATGCACATTGCTCATATGGACACTTCTTTAATGGTCGCTTCTAAGTTTCGTCGTAAAAATGTTTGCTTTTGTTGCAAAGTTGGCAGATGACAGATCATAGATTCTAAAAACTAAGGCTTTTTTTCCCCAGTTTGCTAAGCAAGTCAATAAAAATGCGGCCGCGTAGTATTCCTATACTGCTACCGATGCATGTGCTGACTCTTTTTATTTAGTCTTACAGTTGTTAAGTACTTGATTAGCGTGGCTTATGATGTGAATGGAATGATGGTCCATTAGCATGTCCTTAATTTGGATAAGCAGTTTAAGAGGAAGAATTACGTGATGGTAGTGCCATTTTGGTTTCCTCTGGCTGGTGGATTCTGAGACCATATAATGTACTGAATAGAACTAGATAGAATGTATCGATAGTGAGATAAAAAAAACTGATGGCCATATAAAGCATGTTGGACGCCGATTGACTTAACCTTGGGAAAGTGGGTTACTTTTTAAACCAAAACTACGAAGGGCCGTCTTATGGGGATTGTGGGTTTAAGTTGTGAACCATTGAGTTAAATAGATCACTTCTGTGACCTGTTTCTGGCAGTAGCAATGAAAAGCTGTGTTTTTCACCCTGTGTTCAACTTGCAAGTATTACGATATGGTTGATGGTTTACTTAGAGTTGCATCTGGCATTAATGGCTTGAATTATGCTTGTCTCATAGACAGACAGTGAAGAATATTCCAAAATATGCACCTGCGCAATTTTACATTGACAACGTTCTACCTCGCATCAAGGAGAAAAAGATAATGGTGCTTAAACCTTTTGTCGATCGTCTTGGGTAAGTCAATTATTTATATATATGCATTGATTTTCTGTTACTCGGAGGTCGTCACGCAAAGTTTGTTTATGTACTTTCTTATCATTGATCCTTTCTTGATTAGTTATAATAATGTTCCCCCAGAAATCAACAGACTTAGGTGCCGGGTGAATTACCATGCTCTGAAGTTTCTCCCTGAAATTGAAGAAATGTCAAATTTACTGGCATTAAGGATGAGAAACTGTACTGGCTGTCAGAATCCCTACATGTATGCAACTGGGTCACCTAATATTTGCTAAATTATTTATTGGGTTCTAATACCTCATGGACCTGATTGTTTTCTGAAACAGGTCGCTTCATCTTAGGTTTGAGAAAGGGATGGTTGGCTTACCTTTTTGCGGTTTTGTGGGGAAAAGGGAGGAGAAAGCTAAAATGACTGAATACAGAAAAAAAGGAATGGCCTTGGCGGTATAAAGTGAGTTGGGGGCAAAAAGTTTTGGCTCTTTATGTTAAATGGGAATTAAAGAAACTTGCACTCCATCACTTTCTTCGGTCGCTCTTGCCTGCAGAATGGTTCTCATCTATGGCGGCTGGCCCTGCAGAAGAGGAAGGAAGGCTGATGTCCTCTTGAGCCAGGGGAAGTTGCTGTGTTTCTGCGAGCAATGGGTTATCCCAAGGAAACTCAAATTTATGTTGCCTCTGGATAGGTATATGGTGGTCAGAATCGATTGGCATCGCTAAGGAACATGTTCCCCAATCTGGTGAGACCTTTATTTATTCGTACCATACCATTTAGATTCTCTAATTAAGTGGGTGAGCAGCTAGGAAAATCATATAGTATTAAGTGGGCGAGGGCTGTCCTCGCCCGACTCTGGCGAGGGCTGCCCTCGCCGGCGTCGGACGAGGGTTGTCCTCGTCGGCTTTTGCCTCTGGCCGGTCGCTGGTCCGGCAACCGGCCAGAGGTTGAAGATGAAGAAGAAAAAATAAAAAAATTAATAAAAAAATTCGAAAAAATAAAAAATAAAAATAAAAATTTATTAGTTCGGGGTAAAATTGTCACAAGTGTATCAGTTTAGGGGTTTTTTGTGATTGAAAAAATAGTTTTGGGTGAATTTGTCACAAATTTACCAGTTTGGAGTTTTTTATCGTAAATTCGGGGTAAAATTGTCACAATTGTACCAGTTTGGGATTTTCTGTGGTAAAAAAAAAAAAGTTCGGGGTAAAATTGTCACACGCATACCAGTTTGACATTTTTTGTAGTATTAGCCATATTTCTTTTTAGTTTTGTGTTAGTATGGTAAGTTACGTTGGAAGCAACTTATGTGTGCGAATTCTTTTAATTTGTTGTCATATTTTTTTGATTTGCTTACGCAATCTCGGAATTCTTTTACAATCTCTCCGTTTGATTTGCTTATGCAATCTCGGATCCTTTTTAAAAATCTACCCCCAAGTAGGAGTGTTCATAATTTCCACTCGATGTGCTCACACAATCTCGAAATTCTCTTAGTACCTTTCCGTTTGATTCGCTTAATGCAATATGAGAACCCTACTTAAATGATGATTTTTCGAAACGGGTATTTCAAAGCAAATTGCAAGTTCGTAGCCATGAGATCGCGGCTTGTAGCTTTGAATACGGTGATTCTAATAGTCTTTTCGCGAGTGTATGGAGGTTAGAAGACTCGGGGCTTCCACCCTCCGCAAGTGATCGCAGCGGTCAGCTTCGGAACGGAAGACTGTTTTAAGTTGACCCACCAAGTGGACTCGTCTCTTTATAGTCCTTCTACGAGTTGTGCGCGGTTTAGCAGCCTCAGGACCTCCGCAAGTGATCGCGGCCTCTATCCTCAAAAGACTATGCTTTAAAATCAAACCCCCTAATGGAGCGATTGATCGTCAACTCCCAAGTGGAGCGGTTTGTTAATCGATCCCCCCAAGTGGAGTGGTTTCTTCCTCAACCTCCCCGATTGACTTGTAGATAGGGCGAGCTTCTGTAGCCCGGAAACCTCTCTTCATCAAATTCCCTAGATTATTTCTTCATTGATTGCCTTTTCCACTATCCCACGTCACTCGTCGACAAAATTCAGGTGTCTGTTTATCTTTGAATGAAACATCTTCGAGCTCTTCTTCAAAAAGGGGCAGCTGTTGACACTTAATTTTGTCGGTCCGGTAAGTCGTCTTTTCTTACATAATAAAAAAATTTAAAAGGTAAAAATAGCATAAACAACAAAAAAAAATAAAAATAGAAAAGTGGGTAGATTAGCAAATAGTAATAGAATTATTAGAAAAAATCTATATATATATATATGTATATATCTTTTTTTCAAAAAAGAATTGAGAATTGAATCGGGTCGGTTCAACCCGGCCTGCACAAGGGTCCTGGCACGTGCGCCCAGCAGCCTAGCCGGGCCCTTTTCCGGCCAGCTTTCCCCTCTCTCAGCCCATCTCGTTCCTTCCTTCCTTATTATTATTATTATTTATTTATTTTTCTCTCAGGGCGGGGGCGGGGGCAGAAAAGCGTACGATAGAGTAGAGGGCAGTGGGGGGATGGTCGAAACATTTCACAAAAAAGGTGATTCTCTCTAACGGCTCTTCCGAGGATTTTCTCATTTTCCTCTTGTCGGATTTCCCCCGGATTTCGCCGTTAGCAGCCTCCAAGCTGCGACCAGACCCGCCCCCGTTTGGTCTGTCTCTTCCAGACGAGGAGGCTAAGGTACGGTGCGTTCGTCCTCTCGTCCCCCATCGGAGGTCGCCTTCCCTCCCGGCGTTTCGGAGAGCTTACCATCGCAGATTCGTCGGGCGACCCCAGTCGGCATTCCCTCTCTAACCAGGTAAGACTCGACTCCCCTTAGTACTTTGTTTTGGCCGAGCCGGAGCCCGAGACTCGCTTTCTTCGGTGCGCACGTGTATGGGTTTTGAGTAAGTCATCTTCAGTTGTTCGTGAACGTCATTTGCTGCTTGTTTCTATTTTGGATGCAGATCGAGTCTAGAATGGGTCTGTTTTCTTCTCTCGATCCACTGCTCGCAACGTGTTCGTTGAAATGCCTAAACCGACCCACCATGTCTTGTCCGAATCGAGCATTGTTTTAGTCGTTCTTGGTTGCTTTGTGCCCGATTGTCATCGGCGTTGAGAGTTCGACGGATTATACTATTTGTGTCGTTGTGGGTTGTGGCGGTGAGGATGAGCTGGTGTTCCTTTGTGGAGAGCTATGATTGTTGAAGCTTCCTCGTGGATTTCTAGGTAGGAATTTCATGTTAGGGATGTATGACGGAATAGATTGATGGAGGAGAGTTAAGGATGGCATTGGTGATGATGATAGGTGAATGCGAGTGCTTGATAATGGAAGTCTTGCGGTAGGCAATAATAGGTCATTGGCGGTGGGGTGTATATGTTCAATGCACGACACTTTGGCGATTTCTCACATTATTTGATATGCGGAGCGTACATTTTCAAAGATTACACTTCTATTTATTTTCTTATCTTTTTATTTTAGAAATTATATCGGAAATGAGTAAGAGATTAAAGCGAGAGCGAACCGGATTAGCGAGGACGATTAACGCTGCTCGGCCGAAATAATAAACCAAATCCTGTGTCGCATGCCTATTAAGGATGCGGTCGGGACTAGTATCTTGTCACGTGATTGGAGGTACAAGTGGTATACTTTATAAGATCTTGTGTTTGATGACCGATGTTCCTGGGCTCGGGATTGGCGATAAATGCGGGAGAACTTTGGGAGGACGAGTTAAAGAGATCCTCGATGTTCATCTTAACTCACGAAAGTTCGAGCTCATTCTGGCTATATTGTCCCATGGATTACATTGACGACAGTGCATTAATACTCTATCTACAAAGTTCATCCAAGAAATCGTACTCAACCTCCGTTTTTATGGTGGCTATCCTTCTTATGAGACTCCCAGCGACCTCTATAAGTGCTAGCATTTGGTTCATTTAAAACTTATTGGATGTGTCTTGATTATTCCACCTTCATTTGAGGGATTCATGAGCTTGGTTACTTTGTACCTTGACAATGTAGAATTGCTGTCGATTTAGCTAAGAATACTAATGACTCTCGCAATGAACTTGAAACTTTGATATCACTTGCCTTCGACTACAACATTTGAGTTTGAAGAATCTACATTCAATTTTCCACGTCAACGTCAAAGCTCCCAAGCTCGAGTTGCTTGAATTTGAAGGATCGATCCGATTGTCGATGTTGTATGTCTTGCTGCTCAGAACTTGAAGTCGGTGACGGACAGTCTCACTAATACTTATTCAGGCATTGGTCTCATGGATACTAATTTGCACAAGTTCCTCCTAGCTACTCCATACCTTCGGATTCTCAAGATCGAAGACACTCGTTGAAGGTACATTATAAAAGAAATTTTCATACAAAAAATGAGTCAACAAATTTAAAATGCCCTCCCAAAGTTGTGTACCTTCAATGAGTATTAGTGAGACTGTCCGTCACCGACTTCAAGTTCGGAGCAGCACATACAACATCGACAATCGGATCAGATCCTTCAAATTCAAGCGATTCGAGCTTGGGAGCTTTGACGTTGACGTGGAAAATTGAATGTAGATTCTTCAAACTCAAATGTTATAGTCGGAGGCAGCGTGATATCAAAGTTTCAAGTTAATTGCGAGAGTCATTAGTATTCTTAACTAAATCGACAGGCAGCTCTACATTGTCAAGGTACAAAGTAACCAAGCTCATGAATCTCTTAAATGAAGGTGGGATAATCTGCACACATCCAATGAGTTTTAAATGAACCAAATGCTGGCACTTGTAGAGGTCGCTGGGAGTCTCATAAGAAGGATAGCCACCATAAAAACGGAGGTTGATTACGATTTCTTGAATGGACTTTGTAGATAGAGTATTAATGCAGTCGTCAAGGTAATCCATGGGAGAATATAGCCAGCAGCTGAGCTCGAACTTTCGTGAGTTAGGATGAACATCGAGGATCGCTTTAACTGCCCTCCCAAAGTTCTCCCGCATTTGTCGCCAATCCCCGGGGCCCCAGTAACATCGGTTATCAAACACAAGATCTTGTAGAGTATACCACTTGTACCTCCAATTACGTGACAAGATATTAGTCCTGACTGCATCCTTAATAGGCATGCGACATAGGATTTGGTTTATTATTTCAGCTGAGCAGTCGTTAATCAGGTCCTCGCTAATCCGGTCCGTCTCTCGCTTCAATCTCTTACTCATTTTCAACATAATTTCTAAAATAAAAAGATAAGGAAATAAATAGAAGTGTAATCTTTGAAAATATACGCTCCGCATATCAAACAGCGTGAGAAATCAGCCAAAGTGTCAGTGCATTGAACATATACACCCCACCGCCGATGACCTATTATTGCCTACTGCAAGACTTCCATTACCAAGCACTGCATTCACCTATCATCATCAGCCAATGCCATCCTTAACTCTCCTCCATCAATCTATTCCGTCGTACATCTCTCACATGAAATTCCTACCTAGAATTCCACGATGAAGCTTCAACAACCATAGCTCTCCGCAAAGGAACACCACCGCTCATCCTCACCGGCCACAACCCACATCGACACAAACAGTATAATCCGTTGAACTCTCAATGCTGATGACAATCGGGGCACAAAGCAACCAAGAACGACTAAAACAATGCTCAGATTCGGGACAAGACATGGTGGGTCGGTTTAGGCATTTCAACGAACACGTTGCGAGCAGTGGGTCGAGGGAAGAAAACAGACCCATTCTAGACTCGGTCTGCATCCGAAATAGAAACAAGCAGCAAATGACGTTCACGAACAACTGAAGATAACTTACTCAAAACCCATACACGTGCGCACCGGAGAAAGCGGGTCTCGGGCTCCGGCTCGGCCAAAACAAAGTAATAAGGGGAGTCGAGTCTTACCTGGTTAGAGAGGGAATGCCGACTGGGGTCGCCCGACGAATCTGCGATGGTAAGCTCTCCGGAACGCCGAGAGGGAAGGCGAGCTCCGATGGGGGACGAGAGGATGAACGCACCTTAGCCTCCTCGTCTGGAAGAGACAGACCAAACGGGGGCGGGTCTGGTCACAGCTTGGAGGCTGCTAACGGCGAAATCCGAGGGAAATCCGACGAGAGGAAAATGAGAAAATCCTCGGAAGAGTCATTAGAGAGAATCACCTTTTTTGTGAAATGTTTCGACCATCCCCCCGCTGCTCTACTGTACGCTTTTTTGCCCTTGCCCCGAGAGAAAAATAAATAAATAATAATAAGAAGGAAGGAACGAGATGGGCTGAGAGAAGGGAAAGCTGGCCGGAAAAGGGCACTGCTGGGCGCACGTGCCAGGACCCTTGTGCAGGCCGGGTTGAACCGACCCGATTCAATTCTCAATTCTTTTTTGAAAAAAAGATATATATATTTTCTAATAATTCTATTACTATTTGCTAATCTACCTACTTGTCTATTTTTTTTATATTTTTTTTGTTGTTTATGCTATTTTTACCTTTTAAATTTTTTTTTATTATGTAAGAAAAGACGACTTACCGGACCGACAAAATTAAGTGTAAACAGCTGCCCCTTTTTGAAGAAGAGCTTGAAGATGTTTCATTCAAAGATAAACAGACACCTGAATTTTGTCGGCGAGTGGCGTGGGATAGTGGAAAAGGCAATAGATGAAATAATCTAGGGAATTTGATGAAGAGAGGTTTCCGGGCTACAGAAGCTCGCCCTATCTACAAGTCAATCGGGGAGGTTGAGGAAGAAACCGCTCCACTTGGGGGATCGATTAACAAACCGCTCCACTTGAGAGTTGACGATCAATCCACTCCACTTGGGGCGATTGATTAATAAATCGCTCTATTAAGGGGTTTGATTTTAAAGCATAGTCTTTTGAGGCTAGAGGCCGCGATCACTTGCGGAGGTCCCGAGGTTGCTAAACCGCGCACAACTCGTAAAAGGACTATAAAGAGACGAGTCCACTTGGTGGGTTGAGAAGGGTGGGGTGGGGAGTTCGAATCCCCACCTTCGCAGGGGTGGGGCCGCGTAGTTTAAGATGTGGGTTTCGACGCCCACGCCCTGCAAGAGGTGGGGTGCAAGTCTGAGTATGTATCGTGAGTGAGAAATAGAGTAGGACCGACCAAAAAAAAAAAACTTAAAACAGTCTTCCGAAGCTGACCGCTGCGATCACTTGCGGAGGGTGGAAGCCCCGAGTCTTCTAACCTACATACACTCGCGAAAAGACTATTAGAATCACCGTATTCAAAGCTACAAGCCACGATCTCATGGCTACGAACTTGCAATTTGCTTTGAAATACCCGTTTCGAAAAATCATCATTTAAGTAGGGTTCTCATATTGCATTAAGCGAATCAAACGGAAAGGTACTAAGAGAATTCCGAGATGTGTGAGCACATCGAGTGAAATTATGAACACTCTTACTTGGGGGGTAGATTTTTAAAAAGGATCCGAGATTGCATAAGCAAATCAAACGGAGAGATTGTAAAAGAATTCCGAGATTGCGTAAGCAAATCAAACGGAAATTTTAATCAATACCAAAGACGGCATGAAGACTTTGAATGTCGTTCAATTTTTGGCAAATGTTATCCGGAGGAAAGTTTTCAACAAGATGATTTTGGTTAACTTAAAGAGTTTTGCTAAAATGCCAAAGTAGGGTACCTTAATCAGAATGGTCCAAATCAATATAGACTTCGTAAAGGGTTGTAATGTTGGTTCCATGGAAAGCTAAAAAGGCTCACATTTTCTCAAAAGGTTTTAAAAAGAAGTTGGTGATCATCTCGGCATCACTACCAACTCATCCAATTCTTAAAGGGTTAATATCACGAAAAACTCCAAACTGTTATACTTGTGACAAATTTACCATAAACTAATTTTTTAACCAGCAAAAATCCCAAACTGATACATCCGTGACAATTTTACCCCAAACTAATTTTTTGACCATAAAAAACCCAAAATTGGTACATTTGTGATAAATTTACCCTCCGTTAATTTCAGTTAAATTGGATTAATGCAAAAAAAAAATCACAAACTGGTACACCTGTGATAAATGAAAGGTAAAATCCAAAACTGGTATATTCGTCAACTATCGGATGTCATTTAACAATGTAATTTAATAGTAAAATTTAACGGAAATTAACGCGGGGTAAAATTGTCACATGTGTACCAATTTGGAGTTTTTTGTGGTTAAAAAATTATTTTGAGGTAAAATTATCACAGGTGTACCAGTTTGGGGTTTTTCGTGGTATTAACTCATACTTAAAAGCGCTTGACTTTTGAAACCCAATTTATCTCCAGAGTTAATCGGCTTCGCCCTTTTTCTATTTGCTTTTGTGTTTAGACTAAATTTCTTTTCATACAAAGATTTTGCTTTTGATGCATTTTTTATTGGGTTAATACCACGAAAAACCCCAAACTGGTACATCTGTGACATATTTACTCAAACTAATTTTTTGACAACAAAAAATCCTAAACTAGTACATCTGCGACAAATTTACCGCAAACTAATTTTTTGACCACTAAAAACCCCAAACTGGTACATTTGTGACAAATTTACTTTTCGTTAAATTTGATTAATATCACGAAGAATCACATACTGGTACACCTTTGACAAACGGAGGGTAAAACTCCAAACTGGTACACCAGTCAACTGTCACGCGTCATCAAACTCAGAAATTTGATTGTAAAATTTAACGGAAACTAACGGAGGGTAAAATTATCAAAGTATACCAATTTGGGGTTTCTTGTAATCAAAAAATTAGTTGGGGGTAAATTTATCACAGATGTACTTGTTTATGGTTGTTCGTGGTATTATCCATTTTTGCCTTACTTTTACTTAGCAGACTGCTTTTTCATGTCCCTTATTTTCATGTTCTTTTGATCTTCTGATTTTTTCGACTCTCTTGATCCTAAGACTTTTGATTTTAAGGAATCTCGAAACATTTTTCCAAGAATTACCAACCTTCTTGATATATCATATGCCTTGCCCCAGTGTAGGGAGATAATAACAAACCAGGCTTGTGAAATGGATACTCAAGGTTCAAATTGGCTTAGCAAAGGATATATAAGTGTTTGTGTTAGACAAATGAGCATTCTTATTTACTTTGGGATGTTTTGAGCCTCCACGAGGAACCACATGAAGTTAACCACAAAAAGGTTGACACAAGTGAATGCAACAAAATCTTTCTTGATCTTTCTCTACAAATAATCAACCGTACAACCTCCTTATCTTGACGAAGTCTTCATCCACTAAGTGTCCATGCGACATTTTTATGAGAGGGCTTGTTTTAAAAGTCTAAACTAATCCTAAAAAAATGGCAAATTCATAAACAATGTATTGAAAAGACGGGGCGTAAATTAAACACCCAATGTATTGAAATGTGAACTAATCTAAGAATAATAAAAGAAAACCCGCAACTCGTCGGGTGTTTATTACAACACAAATTGAAAACCCGAGACATGGTCGGGTGACATGAATTGTTACGGAATGAGACCAAATTGGACATTGGTCTTTAATCTCCATTCTCAAGGGTCTCAGCCACCTCTTCCATGGACCGCCTTAGTGGCGTTGGTTTTTATTGAATTTATACATTCCAAAAAGTAACCTGCAAGCATACAAGCAAAGCACTGCAATGACATCCAATCATCAAAGCATTGAATTGGCCTCGGGATCGGCCTTTGCCTTTAATGCATTTCGGTTATCCAACCACCTAATCGACTAAGATTGATTGATTGATGGTTAATGATAATCGGTCACCATTTGCATTCACAAAACGATGATCGATATTAATTAATCCCTAAAGTCGGTTCTAAGTGTCCATTATAGGCTACCCGCCGAACATGCATCGAACCTAAATATTCATCTAGCATACATATGCATAAGAAAGGAAGCATGCAATTAGGTCAAATGACCTTATTTCTCAATCAATTACACAATTGAGAGTGAGCCTCAAAAGGATTACTTATTCAATTACAATTCAAATTTTAAACAGGTTCTGTTTAAACCCAATTAGCTTAACAAATGAAGTCCAATTGACATAGTTCAACTATCATTAAAAATCTTAGGATGTGAGATTTGAAGTTCATGAAGACCATTCAGACCAGTCTTAACCCGGTTTATCCGAAAAATTTAAATCAACCCGGATACCCCAGACTCGACCCGGTTCCAGCTCGTGATTTGAAAAAATGCGGGAAAAATATCAAATGACGACAAAAATGGGTCAAATTTTACAGGGAGTTGGAAAAAGTGTGATGAACAACTTTAGTATTTTAATATTTTTCTAAAAACCCTCTGATTTTTCGCAGTAATTTAATTTTTACACGGGACTCAGTTCCAAATCAATTTTCAAGGCGGAAGTGAACTTATCCGCAATTTTTGCCAAATTGGCCCCTCAAATGTTGCTATTAGGTCCTCAAACTTTTCAGTTTTCAAATTAAGGTCCCAATGAACAACTTTTAAGTTTTAACTTTTTGCAAAAAAAGGCCTCGAACTACCTCAAATTTACAAAAAAAAAAAAAACACAGTTTCAAGATGTCGTTTTCAAGGATGAATCGCACAAGGCCAAATCACCACGGAATTTTATGAAATTTTGAAGTTAGAAAGATAAATGATGTTGTTTACAAATTTCATGAAGAAACTTTTTGCAAATTATGAACACAAAAAATTAGAAAAATCATCGAACCAGACAAGGTCGGTCAGGAACAGATTATCACATAACAGAAAGCAACATTTTCAGATTCCGACTTGAAATCACAAAGACAATTTAACACGGTAAATGATGTTCAATTTCGACACAACCTATCAAATCGAAGTTTAGGATATCAACTTTGATTCACCAGCTAAAACTTTTCGAGATTTCGGCATTTTCAAGCTCAAATTAGCAATGGAAGCATACTGACTCAGCTAGCACGATTTTGCTGACATGCAAGCAATCATCAAACATGCAACCAACAATCAATTCCCTCAAAACACGCACTATTCTAGCATCAAGATAAGGCACTAAACAACAAAATATTAGCTGCCATGGCTATTCTCATTCAAGATCAATCGGCTTCACGAAACTTCCACCATAATCCTAAAGCTAAGTCATCGAGCACCAACCTTACTTGACGAAGCTGCTGAGCTCAATTGAGTTATTCCGCCACCAAGTTGACTTCACAAAATGGCCGAGATAGCTCGCCAATCACTGAAA